TTTTTTCCCCCCGATAGTGAGAACAATTAGTGGAATGACTTGCCTCCAGAAATTATGGGTGCTCCAACACTGGAGCGTTTAAAGCAGAGATTGGACAACCATTTGTCTGAAATGATGTAGAATTTCCTGCCTAAGCAGGGGGTTGAACTAGAAGACCTCCAAGGTCCCTTCCAACTCTGCTCTGTTTTTTTGATTGATCACATTGTTACAGATCTGGTATAGTAAGATAACTGTTACAGGCAATAAAGCAAGCCCATAACTGCTTGAAGCTGCACAGGGACACTTTTCAAGTTTTACTTAAAATACTTTTATGGAACAGCAAGCAACTTTGATATATCTTAATAAAATACACTTATTTTTATTTGGGCATTTAAGTTTAAGAAAGCAATCTAAAACACAACATTTTAAAAATCTCATATATAGACATCACTTTAGATAAAGTCTGCCCGTAAGGAACAAGAGAAAATGTTTTATAAAAGGATATTACAAATCCTTAAAAAACTAACCTCAGAGAATATAAAATACTAAACCAACTTGCCAACTAACAGGATTAATTAAGTCAGTATATGGACTGCAAACAAATCTATCTCCTTCAAAATAGGATGAGCTAAACAGCATAGTTTTCACTTATTTTGAATTTTCTCGATTTTTGCATATTGTTGCCACTGAAAGTTGCCAAAGTTTCATGAGGGGCAATGCTTTTGGCCAAAAGCCTTCAGAAATTTGATCTAACTGTGGGTTTCCCAACCATGGCGCCTTTAAGACACATGGGATTTCAACTTCCCGAATTCCCCAGACAGCATAATCCACCTGTCTTAAAGTTGCCAAGTTTAGAAACTCTGCTCAAAATGCCTCATAAGTGAATCTAGGACCCTGATGTCGAACCTATGGCACCCATGCCATAGGTAGCATGCAGAGCCCTCTGTGCGGGCATGCCAGTCGTCACCCCAGCCCAGCTTCACCGTGCATGCGCATGTACCGCCCGCCGGCCAGCTGAACTTCGGGTCTATGACGCACATGCAAGGGGCACATGCGGAGGATGAGCATGCACATGCATGCATGTGTGTGTGTGTGTGCATGCACAGGGGGTGGTCACATTCTATTTTGGGGCCTTGCGCAACTTCTTGAAACTTTTTTTTGGGGGGGGCAGGTAATTTGGAGTTTGGGCAGGAAAGCGAGAGAGACCTGTTCTTCTCACAAGAACTTTTACTATCAGAAAGTGCCTGTCTAGGCTTCAAAAAACTTTGTGGAAAACTGTTATGTGTTGAAATGAGTAGCTGAAACTAGTTGCTGAAGTTCTCACTCAGGTCCGCTATTGAAGCGGGAAAATACTTTATTCTGATTGGTTTACCGGCTGACCGCTTCCTATAAAAGGAGCACTGTCACCCAGGCTGTTACTGTTGTTCGCATGAACTAAATGAAAAGAGCTTTGCTGAAATCACNCCCCCCCTCCGAGTGAGACAACGCAGCAGCATGGAGCGTGTTAGGTTTACCTTACGCTTAATTGGACGTTTACTATATTTTATCCTTCTTGTGCTTTCACGGTTAAGTGAAATTTATTTGCAACATGTATCTGGCAATTTTCCTCAAATTATGAGTTTAAATCCACAGGACTGTGCTGAAGACAGCTTACTTCAGGCTTAAGAATTTATTCAGGGATGAGAAATTAAACCACTATTAGTTTAATAATTGGCAGTAACTGGAGAGAATTCTTACGGCGTCTATTTCAGGAAACCTATCACTGAGATCAGGTCGAATTGTTATCAAGGGAACATGTTGCTAGCCTATCAGGCAGGGCTGATGTGATGGAGGAGAGAGAGTCCAGATTTTTAAGAGTCGAGAATCACCTCATCATCGCCCCTGAAACAACTTCCGCCTCCTCTTCAGGGGAAACGTCTTTTGCAAAGCTTTAATCTTAGCACTTATTCCCTGGCATTATTATCCTATAATTTCGAAAAGTTGTATAGCACTTGACGGCAATAAGTCACTGAGCCGAGCTTTTGATAATGGATTAAGAAGTGGGTGGGTGGACGGAGATTACATTTGTCTAGCTGAGGTGGATCTGTTTTACATTAAAAGATGGTGAGGCCTCTGCCCTGGGACTTATACATCCGTTTGTGTGAAATGATGGATTAATGATCCCAAGGAAGGCTTGACTAAAGTGCTACTTAGTGCAGCTATTTGGTCCATTATTGGATCACAAGCAGAGCCTTTTCATCCCATTTGGCAGGGCTCCCCATTGTCTTGTTTGTCGTGCTGTGCATTAGCTTTAAGTGCCTTTCCCCAGTCAGTTTATATTTTTGGTTAAGATGGCCCTTTAAGCTCAGTGTGACTCAAGGTATTCTTAGTTTTTGAGAGGAGGGAAAAGGAAAATAAAGAAAAACAGAACTTCAATATGAAATGTTGGGTTCGGTTGCTCAAAAGCTCCCTTTCTCTTTTCTGGAAAGTTTGGAGGAGTTCATTAAAGGACCTAAGTTGGGGTCCTGTTTATACTGGTGCAGACAGGTATTTATACAGATTTGCCAAATCACATAAATTATGTGGCTGGAGTTTCTTCTATCCGCTTCTTAAAACATCATAGCATTTTTTTGAAGGTTCCACTATTACAGTGTTTCTCAACCTTGGCGACTTTAAGTCCTTTGGACTTCAACTCCCAGAATCCCCCAGCCAGCTCTGCTGGCTGGGGGATTCTGGGAGTTGAAGTCCACAGGACTTAAAGTCGCCAAGGTTGAGAAACACTGCACTATTATGATAAACTAACAATGTGGTCCAAACATTGGTATCATGTGAAGGCAAATCTGACTTTAGATATTTTTGTGGTTGAAGCAAAATTTGAAAAAGATGTTTTATGACTATTAAAAAAAAAGAAATGAAATATAAAGGTGGAAATTGGAGGAAGGAAAAACCACCTCTTCCTCTTCCTCTTCCTCTTCCTCTTCCTCTTCCTCT